AAGTAAAACCATAAGGACCCTACCCGTGAATTTTAGGGTTCGAAAACCCCCCATCGTAATCAACATCAAACAACAGGAACGAAATTTGTAATCCAACTATTTTTTGAAAGAATTACATAGAATTTCAACATCTTCCCTATTTTTGAGATTATTATATTAATTATTTAATTAAAATATTTAATAAAATATTTAATAAAATATTATTTACAAAATTATATTAAAAAATATTTTTAAACCCTTCATTTAGGTCAAAATTATTAACAAACCACATGTACGAAAATCGTTATCTACTCTATTATTTAAACCCTTCATCTAGGTCAAAATGTTGGACAGATGGATTCGGTTACCATAGACCTAAATGGTTGGATCCATGCGTTCTGATCCTCTAGACCCACTCGGCAAAACAATCGGGCGGACACTCTTATTTGGATCTAAATGGTGGGTAAGAAACACACGCACAACCAGTACCGCAAATTTCAATTTTTTTTCCAGTCCTTGACAAGAATTGAACGAATACAATATTGAAATTAAAGAAAATTGAAAAAAGGTTTCTACCGATTGGATATACAAGCAAAATTTAGTAACAGAAGTATGAAGAAATCAGCGCCTACAATAAAACCGCACGAACTTCTTACAAGTTCCGACGGAGGAGTGAGAGTTTTGTCGGGGGTCGGCAATGGTGGTGGCGGAAGGGAGTTACTGGGCGAAGTCGAATCAGCATCGCCGTAGACGGTGTAATTGAAGATGGTGGCGATACCATGGACGCAGACGGCAGTAGTGAGGTAAATATCAGGTTGTTTGATCAAGGAATCATCAATGGTGAAATTGGCAGCGGTATCGTTGGTAATTATGACGGTTTTTGAAGGCAATAGTCTAGGGAGACGGGTTTGAGTTTTAAAGATTTGGAGCTCTGAGAATGTTAGGCATTGTGGGAGGATGTGGTAAGGGATGATGAAGGGATCGAAATTGTAGGCGCCGRTGGYGGTGGCGGAGAGGTRGGTTAGAGCGTCGTTGCCAGGGACGAACATGGTGGCGGTGGTTGGGATGAGTGYGGCGGTTGTTGTTGTAGGGATAGATGAATTAGTGTTGGGATTGAAYARAATGTTTRCTCAAGCTGCGAAGTCTCCGGCGCCGATGAGGGCGTGGACTATATTCTTGAGTTGTTGTTGCTGGATGTACTCCGGTGGCGGCRGYGGCGGTGATTGTATTGAAATAGGTGGTGAAATGGGTTGAGCAGAGACTGAGAGTTRTGGTCGAATCAATAGAGAAGGTGCATGCGACAGGGAGTCTGTGGCGRAGAGGCGGYGGAGATTRGTGGTGGTGAGTGCCACCRTCGTGAAGAGGAGGAATARGAAATAGGAAAAAGTARTTYGACATGACGTAGGCAAGTGGGTAGCAGCAGAGAATACACCTTTGCCACCCATTATGATCAAATAAACACCTAAAACTTATCAAATCATTCATTTTAATCTTGTTTTTGGATTATCAAAATTTAATTGCATCATGAAYAATTTAAATAGGATTATAACTAAAAAAGTTTAATAACAGATTAGAAGAACAAAATGTCCTCCSATCGACTGAATGTTTCATAGGGTTGTTAAAGATACCCTTTTTACTGTTTACTTTCTCGCACAAACTAAATTCAATGGTCTAGCCTTGTCAYTTTTTTCTATTTTTGAATTTAATCATATTATTAAATTTCATAAATACAAAATTTATTTATTTTAAATAAGTATGCGTCTTCGATTTTTAGTAACTTAGAAGGATTGTATATTGCTCGATTTAATCTTACACGTATAAGATCTCTTATATGTATAATATTAAATCGAGCGATGAACGGTATTTCTAAGACACTAAAAATCAAAGACACATACTTATTTAATATTAATAGATTATGTATTTATGATATTTAATAATATGATTTAAACTCMAAAAAAGAAAATACGATGATGTTTAACCATTAAATTTAGTTTGTAAGAGAAAGTAAAAAGGAGAAAGGGGTATCTTTAACAACCCTATAAAACATTGAGTTGAAGGGAGGGCAATTTGAACTCCTAATGTGTTGCKAAACTTTTTAATTATAATGCTATTTAAATTATTCATGATGTAATTAAATTTTGATAATCCAAAAACAAGATTAAAAAGAATGATTTGATAAGTTTTAGGTGTTTATTTGAYCATAAATGGGYGCAAAGGTGTATTCCCTRTTGCTACCCACTTGCCTACGTCATGTCAAATTACTTTTTCCTATTTCCTATTCCTCCWCTTYACGACGGTGGCACTCACCACCACSAATCTCCAYCGYCTCTCCGCCACAGACTCCSTGTCGCGTGCACCTTCTCCATCGACTCGACCCCAACTCCMAGTCTCTGCTCTACCCATTTCACCACCCATTTCCATACAATCACCGCCGCCGCCTCCACCGGAGTACATCCAGCAACAACAACTCAAGAATATAATCGACACCCTCATCGGCGCCGGAGACTTCGCAGCTTGGGTAAACATTTTGTTCAATCCCAACACTAGTTCATCTATCCCTACAACAACAACCGCCGCACTCATCCCAACCGCCGCCACCATGTTCGTCCCTGGCAACGACACTCTAACCCACCTCTCCGCCACCGCCACCGGCGCCTACAATTTMTATCCCTTCATCATCCCTTACCACATCCTCCCACAACGCCTAACATTCTCGGAGCTCCAACTCTTTAAAACCCAAACACGACTCCCTACACTATTGCCTTCAAAAACCGTTATAATTACCAACAATATCGCTGTCAATTTCACCATTGATGATTCCTTAATCAAACAACCTGATATTTACCTTACCGCCGCCGTCTACTTCCATGGTATCGCCACCATTCTCGATTACACCGTCTACGGCGATGCTGATTCAACTCCGTCCAGTAACTCCCTTCCGCCACCACCACCATTGCCGACGCCCGACACAACTCTCACTCCTCCGCCGGAACTTGTAAGAAGTTCATGCGGTTTTGTTTCAGGCGCTGATTTCTTCATACCATTGTTACTAATTTTTTCTTGTATATCCAATCGGTTGAAACCATTTTCCAATTTTCTTTAATTTCAAGATTGTATTCGTTCAATTCTTGTCAAGAACCGAAAAAAAGTCTGAAATCTCCGGTACTGGTTGTGCAGTACAAATCTCATAACCATACACTTGGGGGGTTGTAGATTCAATTCAAGAAACCATGAATGCAAATGTTTGGAAGAGAAGATCTAAAGAGATCTCCGCCAATGATGATGACGATTCAAAACACAGACACAAATCCCATCTTCTTGGTTCGAACAAGCAGAGAAACAAGAACAAGAACAGGAGGATTGTGGATCACAAGACCCCAACAGAGTACCCGTTATTGAGATTTGAAGAATCACCAGAATACATGAAGGATAACGAATTTATTTTGAATCATTACAGAGCTATTTGGCCTTTGAAACAAGCCCTTTTTAGCCTATTTCGTTGGCACAATGAAACCCTAAATGTATGGACGTAAGTATCACCTCTCTCTCTCTATATGTATCTCAAATTTAGATGGGGTTTTCATGATTTTCTTTGTTATGACAACTTAAAACTTGTTGCTGCTTCAAACAGATTCAACCATTCTGGAATTTTTGTGGGTTTGTTGCTGATTTCATCATCTAGGTTTCAAACCCTTGTTGGGGAATGTTTGATGATGCAAAAATGGCTACGCAATGTTATGCAATATGCATGAATGCTTGCAAACGGCCCATCAAAATCATATATTAATCATAAAACGGTTGCGAAAGAGACAATTGTAAAATCTTGTCTATTTTGGTTCAAACATAAAAACGAAAAAGTTGGCTAAAAATGAAGAACTTGTACGTTTTTGATAGCTTTTTTATGCATATGTTGTTGATTGTTTGTGGGTATCTTAAAAATTGCATACAGACTCAGTTATTAACATGTGAATGAACTTGGATTTGTCCTCATGGTTGCCATTCTTCATTGTAAATTTTCTTGTGAGATGCTTACAGTTGAAAAGAGAGACAAGCATGTACAATGTGGAATAAATCTTGTGATTCTTGTTTATATTATCAAAGAAACCTTTTTCTCATTTATAAAGTTTATTGTTATTTTGGAGTGGCAATCTTGAAGGGTAGTAGTTGTGTGGTTGTATAACTAAAGGGCAATCTTTGTGGACCCAAATCAATGATATCTACTACAGGGCAAAAAGGTAATATTGTCTTGAGATTTTGTTCTAGTGAAATTTTGCACTTATTTTGGGACATAAAGGAAGTGTTACATTTATCTTGCATGTATATATATACACACACATACAAAGTACTCCATTACGTTGTAGCATCCAAAGGATTTGAGGGACCTAGAGCGAGACTTTGTGTCGTTCACAAGATTTTGGGACATGGGTGTTCTTTTAATTATATGGTGTGAAGAGAAGTAGAATGGAACAACGGGTTGTAGCACAAATCACTGCTAGATATAGATATCGGACAATAATGGTGGCTACACGATGACCATTCTTTTTATTCTTGGGTGGATCCATTTTCTGCCTCCTCTCAGCAGCACCTGCAACCTTTTCCGGCCGCCACTCCCACCACCTAAACTTCCTACTCCTCCAAATAGATTACATTGGTATCACGACCATGATCATAGCCCCCTTTTCGCCAATCTACTACATTTTCCAATGTAAACCCATGTGGCAATTCGTCTATCACCATGGTATCTCAATCATGGATGCATTTATCATGTAACCCTGCTCTCACTGACACTCTCCAGTGGAAAGAACCTTTCTTTTCATGTTTTTCTATTCATAGGAATGAGAATAATCCTGCTGATGCCTGCTATTTATGTCAACGTGGTGAACTAGCATGAACCTCAAAGGAATTAAACGGGATCTTTGCTTACAAATCGATGATGGAGATTTCATATTTGACAGGTATTATATTTTACATTAGCAAAATCCCAAAAAGATGGAAGCCTAGTTGGTTTGATTTTGATCTGGCTGATCAATGCCACCAAATCTTTCATTGTTTTTTTTTGTGATCATTGGGTGCATTGGCCCATCATGGTCTTATCAGATACAAGGGCGTATTTTCCTCTCAAACATATGTACCCTGACGTGTCCCAATTTGACTAAAGTGGAACATAATTATTCCGACACTGAACATGATACAAGATTCAAATATTTCTCATACTTTATGGTGGTTTTCTAATACTGTGTATGAACAGAAGTTTCAGACAAATCATTTCTAACACCGGAAAAGTAAGAACTAGTTCTAACATAATTATAACTGATTTTATACAAATTTTATAGATAATTGGTACGTTGTTCCCTTTAAACATCATTCAGTTTAAAAACCTCTATTTATATCTACTTAGAACCAAGTTCAAGTTATGACCATCTTACAAAGATTCATGGTGAATACTTGTATTTTAGACTCGATGAACAATTTGCTATGAAATTACAAATCTTTTTAACTTCAAGAAAAAAGCAAAAAGGTTGAATTTAAAAAGGAAAAGAAACACAAATTAATGAAAAAGTTGAAATGACTTTTTGATACGAAGCAAATCAAGACTTAAAAACTCATTAAATGGTGTCGTTGTCTCGTTAAAATTAACGTGCAAATAAATATCACATCCCATAAATGCTATGTAGTTGTAAATAAAATAATTTTCAAATTTAAATAATCAGTATGAATTTTAAAATGGATTTGAAGGGATTTCGATTTCAAATCCATTCTAATCTTATATTTGGTTCATTGTATTGTCCAGATTTGAAATACTATGATTTAATTGAAATCCTACAAACATAGGATTTTCAAATCCTTAAAAGGGTGCTCCAGATTTCATGGGATTGAAATGGAATTGGATTCCAAATCCCTCCAAGTCCTACACACCAAACATGATCTAAACGTATATTTTGTGTATTTTTACGTCAAATATTGACTTCAACCTAGAAAAAAGAAAGACCGTCATCAAAATAGCATAATATAAACGTCTTTTACCTCATAAGTGCTGATCAAGTAAGATCACCACCCTCAGTTATCCTTGATTAGCAATACGACACAGTAAAATTGTTAGTAAAAATCATCGTCAACTTTTTTTTTTTGAAGTATATAATATTTATATACAACAAATAGAACAAATAAATTCACACACCCTCCTCACCTTTGGTGAGATTTGAACCCTTGACCTCCTATAAGGCCAAGTACTCACATACCGCTAGGCCAAACGCCCTTTGGTATCGGTAGGTGTTTAGGAAAGTACAGGAGAGTTTTTTTCCTTTTGCACAACTAAGCATCCAATTCATGTAGCTACAACTTGAGGTTTTATACCTTCTCTTGATACAACAGTTTGACTAAAGAAAATCACCAAGAAAATTGTGGCAAACATATAGAATCAATGGGACCCAATTTCACAACAAACATGACTTGCAAATCAATCACATTTTCGCTCGTATAAATAGGACCCAAAGATTGGATATTAGGAACGAATTAACAAGACCTACACAACAGTTTCAATTCACTAGCACCCGACTCGACCACGAAACTCAAGAAACACAAGTGCAGCACCGTAATGAGCCAATGCACCCATGATCACAAAACAATGAAAGATCTGGTGGCTATGACCAGCCAGATCAAACCAACCCGGCTTCCATCTTTCTGGGATTCTGCTAATATAAAACATAGTACCCGTCAAATATGAAACCGCCATCACCAATTCGTATGCCAAGATTCCATTCCTCTGAGGTTCGTGCCAGTTCACCACGACTGCATGAATAGCAGGCACTAGACCGAAAAGTCCCATTCCCATGAAAAGAAAGGCACGAAAAGAACGGAACTTTCCACTGGAGAGTGCTGGTGAGAGCAGGGTTATAACGGTAAATGCACCCATGATTGTGATCCCACCAAGATAAACGAATTGCCACACGGGTTCACATTGGAAAATGTAGTAGATTGGCGGAAAGAAGGAGGTTATGATCATGATGGCGATACCAACGTAATCCATTTGGAGGAGCAGAAGGTTTAGGTGGTGGGAGTGGCAGCCGAAGAGGTGGCAGGTGCTGCTGGAGAGGAGGCAGAACATGGACCCTCCTAGGAACACAAAGAACGGCCACCGTGTAGCCACCATTAGTGGTGGTCCGATCTCCATATCTAGCGCTGATTCATGCTTCAAATCAATGAGTTTTGGTGTATCCTGTAGTTGAAAGACCATGAAAACTCAAAGAAAAGGACTTGCACATGGTTGACTTTTAAAGTCAAACACGATGATATTACAATTTCCATGATTTAAATCCATGAAATTCTACTTTACATTCGGATAAATCTACATCATTTTCGATCCTCAACAAGACTTATTTAGCCTAGAAAGTCAAAATGCATATCTTTTATGAAATGGAGCAAGTATAAGAAAGAAAGGACCAAACAACCACTCACCATGATCGAATTATGAGAGGCGTTTGCACCTGGGCTTAACGGGAAAGACCTGAAATTTTCGTAAAGCCGAAAAGTAACAATAAAAACTAATATTAAAACTACATATCTTGAAGTAATCAGTATCATCATCAATTAAAAATAAACAACCTTCCTTGCTTAACATGCTCTACAACCTGTTTTCAAGATTCTTTCCTTGGAATATTTATGATTTCTTTCCAGTTCTTGACAGCAAGTTATGGGTGTCAGAAATCCCTCAAAGCTTTTGGATGCTACAACCTAATGGAGTACTCCATACATACATACATGCATACATACATATATATATATATATATATATATATATGTATATATGTATGTATATATATAAAGCAAGATAAACTAACAATTTCTTTATGTCCCAAAATAAGTGCAAAATTTCACTCAAAAGAAATCTCAGTAGATACCATTTTGATTTTGGTCTACAAGATTGCGTTTTATTTAGCCGTTGTTACTAGGCAGAATCTTGGTATATTTGACTTATAACGAAACCATTTTCGTTGAACTATGTATTCATTCGAACCTTGCATCTTTTAGGACAGAAGAAGTAGTAAAAACAGAAACTATTTCAACTCAAATTAACAAGATTTGATAAAAATGTGAAGGGAGACAAAGAATCTTTACATACCAAGTTAATAAACTGAGAAGATCTGAAACTTGAGGCACATGCATCAAGTTTGTAATGGTCAACCCCAAGAATACAACAAATCCAATTAAATGCCTATACATAAAAAACAAGCATACATCCAAAAATGTCAGTATATTATACCATCACAATACAAATTGATATCAAGAGTTGCCACTCCAAAATAACATTTAAACTGATAAAAGTGAAAAAGGTGTGTTTGATGATATAAACGTGAAATACAACAAGAAGAATCACAAGACTTATTCCACACAGACACAGTACAAGGCTTGTCTGATATCATATGCCAGTCTGTTTCGAAATATCAACATCTCACAAGAAATTTTCTACAATGAAGAATCACAATCATAAAGGATAAATCCAAGCTCATTCACATGTAAACACTGAGGCCACATGCAGCCGTTAAGATACCCACGAACAATCAATAACATATGCATAGAAAAGTTATGSAAAWWSTACAAGTTCTTATGCAYATAGTACAAGTTCTTATGCACATAGTACAAGTTCTTATGCACATAGTACAAGTTCTTATGCACATAGTACAAGTTCTTATGCACATAGTACAAGTTCTTATGCACATAGTACAAGTTCTTATGCACATAGTACAAGTTGTTATGTACATAGTTTAAGTTCAAAAACAGACTATGCATATGTTTTCTCCATGATAGACTAAACAGAGGTGAAATCAAGAGCATGCCCATATAACATCAGCAACAAACATGAGCTCTCATTTAATAGGAAAGAAGAAAAGCCCATGAAAACTTGGTGTTTAATGATAAAAATCACTGTAAAGAATGAAGGTACAAGTATTTATTCACATTGTATAACATTCCGTAGCCATTTCTGCATCATCAAACATGCCCCAAAAAGAGTTTGAAACAGAGATGCAGAAAAGTCTTAGCTCCCATCTAGTGGGAATGAAGTGGAATGGAATGATAAATAATTGATAAAAGGTACAAATATCCATCCGGACGATACAAACATTTCTGAAAAGGTTAAAATCCAATGAGCATTTCCAATAATTGGAACCTAGATGATGAAAGTTGAAACTAGCAACAAACCCACAAAAGTTCCAAAATGGTTGAATCTGTTTGAAGCAGCAACAAGTCTTAAGTTGTCATAATAAAGAAAATCATGAAAACCCCATCTAAATTTGAAATAAATTATCCTGCGTTTGAGATATATATATATATATATATATATGTATATATATATATAGAGAGAGAGAGAGAGAGATGATACTTACGTCCATACATTTAGGGTTTCATTGTGCCAACGAAATAGACTAAAAAGGGCTTGTTTCAAAGGCCAATCAGCTCTGTAATAATTCAAAATAAACTCGTTATCCTTCATGTATTCCGGTAATTCTTCAAATCTCAACAACGGGTACTCTGTCGGGGTCTTGTGATCCACAATCCTCCTGTTCTTGTTCTTGTTTCTCTTCTTGTTCGAACCAAGAAGATGGGATTTGTGTCTGTGTTTTGAATCATCGTCATCATTGGCGGAGATCTCTTTAGATCTTCTCTTCCAAACATTTGCATTCATGGTTTCTTGAATTGAATCTACAACCCCCCAAGTGTATGGTTATGAGATTTGTGATGATGGGTATGAAATCAAAGAAATGAATCAGAAACCCGCATGGATTTATGGAATTCGATTTCGATTTTGATTTTGATTTGGAAGGAAGGTATGGGGGATTGAAGGCAGTTAAGGCTATTGGAGCAACTACTACCTACAACTTCCACATTAAAGGCATCCCACTTTTTTCTATTTTTTGATTAAAGACTTGTTTAGTAGATACTCCTAAGATATTCCTTTTTGCCTCTTTTTCATTTCAAATATTATTATTATTATATTATAATTTAATAATATATTTTTTTAAACAAAATTTCATGTAAAGACTTTTATATTTTTGTATATGTATAATATAAAAAAAATAACAGACACAAGGAGTATATGTTAGGTTGCATAAAAACCCGACCAACCCGATCAACCCAACCCAACCGAAATAACTCAACCTGAAGCAATCTGATGTCTAATGAAGTTGTAAAATTGTCAAACTGCAGGTATTGAGTTGCATTGGGTTGCTATTATTTGAACTCAATCCAACCCGATGAACCCGATATCCTCTTATTTATTGGATTTAATATGATTGTTGAATTTCTGTTAATATATACATTAGACAATTACACTATCATGTATGTTTTTCATATACACATATTTTCAATCTATTCACTTCTCTATATAACCCATTCGTATATATGTCCAGTAACTGTGAACATATATATGTAAATTGAGAAAATTAATTGAATGTAATATACGTAAGAAATAGAGATAAGTTGTATCAAATAGTTGATGACGAAAAAGAAATTATGAGTAGAGAAATATCATATTCAAGGTTAGAAGAATATTTTAATGTACCAGAGTATCAACCCGACTAACCCGACCAACCCGTATGGGTTGGGTTGGATTGGGTTAAGATTTTTTGAAACCTCAAACATTGGGTTGGGTTGTTCAAATGTATTCAACCCGATCAACTCAACCCATGAGCACCCTTAGTATATATAATGCATAAATATGATAAACATAACCAATTTTCGATGATGTAAAAATTTCAAAAGATTTTATAATTTTGGTTTGATTGTTCGGGAAAACCTTTGATGATATAAAATATGGATGTATAGAATTTCAGTTATTAAATATTGTAATTGATATATTTGATTTTGAACTATTTTTATACAAATGCAGCCATTAACATTTGATTAATTGAAATTTTAGAATAAAATGTCATTTAAATGTGTAATTAACATTTATAATGATAATATAAATACAATTAAATTTTATAAACATGGAAAAATCCTCAACTCCATATAAGGATTCTCGTTCTCCAATGGAGATGGAGAAAGAATCTTGTTCTCTAAAGGTGTTTTCATCTTCAACCCAGTATTAAAAAGTTAGAGGTCCTCAAACTTGGGCTCTATATTTGGAGGTCAAAAAAGTAGCCTCTATAAATGAAAAATTAATATAATATTATTTTTATAACTATATATATATATATATATATATATATATATAGTTGAGTTCACGTGAGACCAGACTGTTTTGTGAGATCCGTGATGCTATTTTTTTATACTTGAAACTTCATAGCAAAAACACTATGAAATTACTATCATAGTGTTTTGTTATGATGTTTCAAGTGTAAAAAAATTGTCTCACGGTTCTCACAAAAAATAGCATGGTCTCACGTGATTCTAAGGGTTGGATTTCATGTGAGACCAACTTGTTATTGTGAGAACCGTGAAATCACATTTTTACACTTGAAACTTTACAGGAAAATATTATGAACGTAAAAAAAATCTACACCTTCACAGCAAAAACACTGTGAAAGCTATCTTCACAGCGTTTGGCTGTGAAGTTTCAAGAAGTGTAAAAAGTGGATTCACGAAGACAGTCTAGTCTCATATAATCCAAAGTTTATAACACATCATTTTCAGTGTTTTTATTTTCAGTGGTTGAGTTGGAGATGATTCATGAGGAATATGGATGGGATTACGATTCTTGATATAACATAGATCTGGAGATTAGGCACAACAAAATCTTTAAATCAAAAATACTAAAACAAAATTATAATCAAAATCATGTGATTTAAAGCGGTATATCAACAACGGTTCAAGCAACATCAAAATTATCAAAAAACGAAAGGTCAAAATACTCTTTCAAGATCTAAAAAATACTAAATCAATTTTTTTATAAATACAACATGTAATGATAAATATTTAATACACGAGAACGGGACAAGTTAGGGATCACGTTAATTGCCTCTGTCCCCAGTTTTTAACCTTAGGGGATCCCCATATCCATCCCTAGTTTTACAGGAATTCCCAGCCCTGGTCGGGACAGATACACCGAGTTCCCAAAAGGAATAATAGGTTAAGGGGCCGTTTACTTACACATTTACCCGATAAGCGTTACCGGTTAAATTTAACACTATCAGTTACCTTACCGGGTAAGATTTTAGTTCACTAAAACGGCATCGTATGAAAAAATTTAACCGGTTAGCGCTAACCGGGTAAGAGCCGTCGCCCTCACTTACGGGTAAGATTCTCGGTCATTATCTTCGCTCTTGTTGGATAAGATTCTTGGTCCTTATCATATTCATTGGGGTTAAGGTAATATAACTTAATAAGCGCTCACAAAGACGAAGGTTTGGTAAAGAAGCCCTAACTCTCCCCTTTCGAATCGGCGGTTTAGTCGTACATGAGTTCGTGGAGAAGGATGACGGATGGCGCAGATGAAGGGGTTGGTGACAGAGGAAACGTATTTGTTTAGTGTTCTGGAAAATGTAA